TATTCTAATTATATTTTTATTTTTATTTATTAATATATTATTTTATTTTATTATATTTATAATTATATTATACATATATTTAAATTATAATAAATTAATAATAAATTATATAATTTATATAACTATAATATATATTATAATTATATTTATATTTTTATATCCTATTAGTTTATTTTAATTATTCAATATTTAGTTATTTCCCTTCTCATTATATTTAATTGTTTTTAATTAAAGGTTTACTTCGATGATTTTTCAAAGCAAATACAAAATTACATAGTTGATTTTAACGATCTATTAATTTTTTTCTTAAATCAATCGTTTCCATAATTATGAAAGTGATTTTACAAAAATTAGTTTATTTGTAATTTCATACCACATTATTTTAAATTAAAGTAATAAAATATAATTGTTAACAATTACCCGTTTGATGGTGTTTGATATTTGAACAGTATTTGAAATTCATTTAGTATGTAAATATAACTCTTTAAAATCATGCAAATTTTAATATTTTCCAATTGAAGTCTTCCAATACATTGTTTCTCTATTTATCTATGATAGTACTCTATAATTATCCAGTTTCATTTCGAATAAAATGGCAAATGCTTAACATATTTGATATGTTGATAATGAAATATTGGCTATACTGACGTAGCACGTTTTGGAATTTGTATAATAATTGAAACTATTCAGAATATTCTGAGTTGAAACTCTCTTGCTACGTGTCGATTCTCTCCTAGATGATAGTTGCAATGCATGTATGTGAATAGACAGAATTACAATTCACACTTGTGACATTGATACGAGATTATTTTAATGTATAAATAAGGTATATTACGTGTGTATAACGTGTATATTACGTGTAAATAATACGTGTTTCAATTGACTTTAATATAGTATCAACATATTTTAATATTTTTTATGAGTTTTTTTATGAAATTTTATTAACTTGACTTTTCCTAGCAATTAGAAATGATTTATTTTTCTTTTGTATACATATATATATGGGGCATTCCACGTCAAATCGGCCACTTTTGACCCCGACCGATGAATTTTTTTTTTTTAATTAAATTAATGCAATTAAACAATTTTACAATATTCTATACTTAATTTATAGTCTTAAAAAACAAAGTTTTTGAAAAAAAAACATTTTAAATTTTGAAAATTAAAAGGTTTTTTTTCAATTAAATAAAAAAAATAGGAAACTAACTCGGCCCACTCTGGGACTGGCGGGGATAATCGCAGAATTAGTCAAAGTTTTTTTTTCAGAAAATAAAAAAAAATGAAAAATGGCGAACTTCGAGAAAATAACAGTTTTTCTCAAAAAATGCGACAATTTCATGGATTTTATAATTTTAAAATTTTTTTGTATTTTTTTTCTGAAAAGTACATTTAAAAATAAAAATTTAAAACAAAAAATGTCCAAATAGGTTGAATTTTGAGAAAGTTATAGCCATTTTAAAAAAAAAGAGCAATTTTTTTTAAATTAATAATTTTATTTGGGTTTGGTAAAAAAAATTTTAAAAATTCTGAAAATTGTTTTTTATAGGGTAGAAAAGGATAAAAAACTTTCAGCTAAATCGAAAGGGGTCGATTTGACGTGGAATGCCCCAATATATATAATATTATACAAAATAATTTAATATAATATAATATATATATGCAAAAGAAAAATTCATCAATTCTATCTTTATATATATATATTATATTATATTATATTTTACACACAATTTAATTATAATTTTAATTATTATATATTATGCTATTATATATTATTATATTATTATTATATTATTAATTATTATTTATATTATATATATAAAATAATATATATTATATTATATACTACACAATTTATTTTTATAATTTTAATTATTATATATTATAATATATAATATTTAATATATAGCATAATAACATAATATAAAGAATAAAATAAATAAAATAAAATTAGAATAAATAAAATTTAATAATTTTATTAATTCTAATCACACACACACACACACACACACACACATAATATTATTTATATTTACTATTAATTTATTTTTTGTATTATTATTTCTTTGTCCCTATTTCGTTCATTATCGCATCATTTATTCCCCTCCGTTTTTATTTTGTCCCACTTCAATTCCCTTTTTTCTATTATTAATTTGATCATTTTATTGCTGCCATTCTCTTTATTATAATTCGTTCATTCTTCTTATATTCTCTCAACACATATTATATTCTATCCTTTCTTTTTTCTTTTTCTTCCCAGCTATTGTCTTCTTATTCTTCGTTGAACACTAACTCATTCGCTCACATATTCACTCTGTCAACTCACTCACTCACTCACTCATTCGCTTTCATTACCCTCTTCTAACAACACTCCCTTTTCGCACAGCCTCTCCCTGAACGGCGCGTAGGGTCCTCAGTTCCAAGTGCGCCGCGACGCGAATAAGATCGTTCCTTATTCGTCCAACATTTTTGCCCGCCAAATTTTCATCCACTTTCATTTTATATATTTGAAAGAAACAATAGAAAATATTAAGAGAGATATTTTTTACAATTGGTGAACAAGAATACCAACTGGAACACACGCGAACTTTCATCATTGTGAGAAATTACATTTTTGATATATTTAAGTAGAATAAGTCAATGATTTTCACCCCCTCATTCATATCTCGTTAATTTAATTACATTTAATATTTAGTAATATTTATTATTTATTAATATTTTATTAATTATTAATACATTCTATTTATGAATGTTTATTATTTATAAGGATGCATGTCAAATTTTTATCTTTTTATTTTTTAATAAATTTATTTTTCTTGTTGTAAGTTAATAATTAAATAACAATCTTTTCAGTGTTAGTATTATTATAATTAAATTGAAACAAATCACTCAATAAAAGGAAAAAAACACAATCAATCAAAAAAAGTGACAAAAACTCAATCAATAAAAGATATAATTTATTTTCAATTTAATCAACATTATTTTTATAAATTACATTAAACAATAATCACAAAATTTTGTTAATTTTTAAAATTTTTAATATTTTAAATTTGTTATTCATCTTTAAGAGAAAAACAAAGATGTCTGATCGATCGTGGTTGATCTTTACTACTGAAGTTAGTCTTACTACATCACAGCTTTTATTATCCACTCCTCGTTTGATCGTACCATTGACTTTTACTACTTAATAAATTCTCAACCAACGCGAATTTTCATATTTGTATCTTTTCTTTTCTTTTAATCTTTTTGTTTACCAAATGAAATGAAAAATCGTCAAAACACAGATTAGACAAATCGTAGGAGGAATTAACGGTATAAAAAAGTCAACGAGATGATTATAATCCCTTCGTCTATGGCGATAACTAATCTCAAATGGAAGATAAAAAAATCCGTGAGAAAATCGATACTATGCGTTATCAACGTTTTTGTGCGTTATCATTGAAATACGAAAGAGAAATAGAGAAAGAGAAAGAGAGAGAGAGAGAGAGAGAGTGGATTAAATGTTTCATTAAAAACAAAAATAAAAATAAATAAAAATAAATGAAAATAGAAGAGGGGAGAGAAAAAGATAGAAAATTAAATAAATAATTAAGTTATTTTTTAAATAATATATTATTATTTAAAATTAATTATTAATTTAATTATTTTTAAATTAAAAAATAATTAAAAGTTAATTTTTTCTTTTTTGTTTGTTTTTTTATTTATTTATTTTTGGATTCTTTTTATTCATCCGTTAATAAAAATAATAACAACTCAATGATAGTAATATAAAAGATAAATCTATTAAACACGTCGTAACGAGCTTATACACTCGTTGTTAATGATGATATTGCCAGACGAGTTTAATTGCACGTTCAACCAATAATACGAATAACACAAAGCTTGCGATATTCGCTTGAGCGTGAATGACGCCTATGCCATTGGGAGAGCGTGTCATACTTTTTAAATATAAAAATAAATGTTGATAGAAGAAAAATATTACACGAAGAAAAAGAAAATAAAAGGAAAAAGACAAAAATTAAATATATAAATGAGAGAAGATTAATAGTAAAAATAAAACAAAACGAGAAAAAAGAAAATGAAGGATTATAACAAAAATGATTTTTTGTTTTTAACATTAGTCTTATTTTTCGATTATTCATTCTCAATACATTAATTTATTGACCATATTATAATTGAAAAACAAAACGAGAAGAAATAAAATGAAGGAATATAACAAAAATATGATTTTTTTGTTGGTCAAACATTAGTTTCATTTATCGATTATTCATTGTCAATACATTTATTTATTTATCATGTTATTAAAAAATCATTTATAAGATTGATGAATAATGATTGAATAATTATTTATCAAGAAATTAAAACATTTGGTTAAAATCAATTTAAGGTATTGGCAGATAGGACAAAGAAGGATAATTAATTTCTCACATATGCAACATCTTCGTAATCATAATATACCAGAAATACAAAAATTATTCGCATAATAATCAAACATCATCTGCTAAGAGTAATCCCTTTATATTCAGAATTCCATGCTATTTTATAATTTGTTTCACGTGAAACGTTACATTAACAATATTAATGTTCATGTATTTTATATACACTAAAATATTTCATTTACACTAAAATTTTTAAAAACACCAAGACGTTTAAAGAAAAAGAGAAAAAAAAAGAACAATCGAAGAAAAATAGTATGACACTCTCGCCAACTTTTATGCATGTAACCTTGTTATCCTCATTTTCTTTCCTCTGGGAATTGCAACATAATTTTACTCGTCTGTAAATCTCAAGAACACTACATTTTCCAAAAAAAAAAGAAAATAAAATGAATTGAAAAAGCCAAACAATAAAGTAAAACTTGTGAGAAAAAGAAAAATAATAGATAAAACCCCTTCACACATGTTGGATAAAAATAAAATACAAATAAAAATATAAAAAAAAAAAAAATGAAAGAATACAAAAGTAAGGATTGATTTCTTTTGTTCCTATGCAAAAAAAAATAAACGATATTACAATAAAAAAAAAGATACAGAAAAAATGTATTTAGAAGATTAAATAAAAGAAATGAGATTATAAAAAAAAACTTTCAATGAATATTTAAATTAGCATTGTAATTAAAAAAGGACAAAGTTATTTTAATTAAACATTTGTATTAATAATTAATATTTCATAAATATATATATATATATATATATATATAACTTAGAAAGAATTTTAATCAAACAAGTTTACCGTCGTAATCAATCGAGAGCTGTTTTCGACATCCAATACAACTTACATTATTTTCTTTTTTTTTTCTTTTTCATTTTGCTTTCAGAGACAGGAAAATACCAAGGAACGAAGGAGAAAAAAAAACGAGGATAAAGGGAAGTTGAAGAGTGTATTGAAGAAAGACGAGAAATGGTTTCAATGGTTTCTTCAGCAGTCCTTGGAGCAGCTGCAGGTACAGGATTGGCTTTGGTAGTGGCAGTGACTATAGTTGTCTACAGATATTACGCTTTTAAACGTAAAGGAAAATATTGGAGTAATCTTGATCGATGGCCAGATCCACCCAAAGTGAATAAAAACAACGAAAAATCATCAGAATTTAATGAAAATCATTGTCGGGACAATTCAACTTCTTCTTATGTTTTGGATTGTTGGAAAAAACCACAACAAAGTTACTATGCTGTCCAACCAACCGTAAGTATATTCAATTCTATTCAATATCAGTGTTTTTAAAGTGAAAAGTTTTTTAAAATGCATAAATTAATTACAGTATTGGAGTTCAATTTTTATCATTATTTATAAAAATATTTGATTTGCAAACATTTTTTAAAATGTTTTATTATTTATTTAATTATTAATTTAATTATATAAATGTGCGCCTGTATGAATGCAACCCTTCAAACAAACTTTGAAAATGTTGCTTGCGAGCGCCATCTTTCGGGACAGAATTTTTTCCTGACCAATAGATACGCAACCCGTCATACATACGTGTATAAACAGTTTTGACTGGAAAAAAATTCCGTCCCAGTAGATAACACTCGCAAGCAACATTTTCAAAGTGTGTCTGGTGGGTTGCATACGAACTGACGCGCATTTTTATAATTAAATTAATAATTAAATAAATAATTACAAATTAAAAGTACAAAAAATATTATAATAATATTATATAATAAATTATCCTCCAAACTTGTTTATTTGAAGGTCTCACTTCTAACTTGTGTGATATGCACACATGTTTTTTTTTTTAATTTATTTTTAAATTTGTTCACTGTTGAGATGTGTATTGAAATTCTTAAACGTATATTAAGAAATTATATTGATTCTTGTTGTTAAATTAGTTTAATTGATAACGATTTGTTCATGTTAATTCGTAACCACAAACTCGTAGATTGTGTTTTAATACAATTTCATATCGAAAATTCAATCTTTCGTTAAAGGATTCTCGTTTTGTCAATTATATTTGTTCGTTTATTACTGTCAATTACTTCTAGGCAATTATCAATAAATTTCCATTAAAATATATTGTATTATTAATATCTAGAATTTTGTATACACAAATAGAAAATTTATATAAATTTTTTTGAATATATAGAAACACTGTCGTTTCTAAAAACTATTGAATTTTCAAGAAACGTTGAAAATATCTACAGATGATAAAACAGATTTGCTTTTTTAAATAAAGGTTTCTATATTATCGACTAAATAAAGTTTGTCGATTATATTATTCGTTATTAGTAAAATAGAACTGTCAGTAAATTTTTGTATTATCTATTTAAGATAATAGTTTTAATTTTGAACATTATTTTCATATCAGCGAAGTTAATTAATTGATTAAATAATTGTATATAAATAAAATGAATATTAAATGTAATAATAATAAAATATACATATTTAATAAATATATTAGTAAAGTATTATAAATTATATTAAATAATTACATTATATATTTGATTAAATAATTATTTAAATATAACATCAATTATAATTTATTAATAATTATTATAATTTACATTTTAGATTAAAGGGCATATCAAATATAATAAATTTATTTTCATCTATCGCGAAACTGTCGATGCATTGATAAAATCTAATTATTATTTTTATTATTATTATTATTATTATTATTATTATTATTATTATTATTATTATTATTATTATTATTATTCTATCCCCGAGTGTATACAAATATATTGAAGTACTCATAGGATTCTAATAATAAATTGATATTAATCAAACTCCATACGCGTATTTATATATGCCATATAAAATCCTTGATAATTTTATAAGAATTTAATATCAAAGTTAAAAAATAAAAAAAAACATTAACATTACCTAAACAAACAACATGTTATTTGCCAGAAAATCTAAATTTAAGTAAGTCGAGGTTGTTTCTAATAAGCAAATTATAGTTTAACTTTTAATCATGTGTTCTATATCCATATTAAACTATAACTATTTACATCTGAAATAAATAAACATAATTATTGTCTTTCTATTAATAAAAAAAAATTATAATACTTGATCGAAATAATAAAATGTAATTTTACAATTTTATTTTGAAATCGTTTAACGAATATTTAAAAAAACAAATAACTTATCGTTATCTTGATTCGTTCATGTATTTATTAAATCTATCTTACATTAGATTTTGATCAGAATTGGAGAACGTAAAATTTTTTATCGCACTTATCGTAACAGCCACGCAATCATGTCCATGTGAGTGTGTAAACGCACAGGAAACCATTCTCGAGGTTCTAACAGAGAATATATATTCCGGAATTTGGATCGATATAGCAGCACTCTACGACTGACCGAACTATAATATAACGTGCTTTCAATCGCAACGTATACAGAAAAAGAAAAAAAAAATATATATATATATATATATATATGTATAGAAAAAAAAAGAGAGAAAGAAAGAGAGAGAGAGAAAGAAAGGAAGAGAATAAAAGGAAAGTAAAAAAAAAAAATTAAAAAACAAAAACCTTTTTAGCAGATGAGTTTAAAAAGAGGATGAGAAATCGAGTTAAGGGGCCTTTGTTTTTTTCACTTAAAAAAATTATGATTATTGAATTACCTTAAAACAAAAAAATAATAATAATAAAAATAAATAAATATCAAAGTAAAAGAAAATTTATTAAAAAAAAATTTTTAATTAATTAAAAACGTATAATATACTTTCGCACAAATAAACTCTTGGTACGCAATCGTGTATGATAGTTTATATAAATTAATAAAGTAAATTTTTTTAATTAAATAAAGAAAAAATAATTGTATTGAAAAATAATATTTATCATTATACATATTATATATTATTGATAAATTAATAAATATTATATACATATAATATGAATAAATTAATAAATATACGAGTATATCCTAATATGTATATAAATTACGTGTCACGTTGTTTGTCCGCAATGGACTCCTAAACTACTAAACCGATTTTAATAAAATTTTTCACACTGTGTGCAGTTTCATCCAACTTGAAAGATGGAATAGTTTATATCTCAATTTATAATCGCAATATTATTTTATTAGTCGCGAATTATTTGTTTATTAACAAAGAGTCATGATTATCTCTGTTAGTTCGATAAGATTCTAAAAGATGGCGGTATAAGGTAATTCGTTGACTTAAAGATGTGTGTATCGTACTGATTGGGAGCCACAGCAACGCGAAGCGGGGCAGCCCTAATATAAAATATCAATTAATAAAGTATATTTCTAAAATTAAATGGAGAGACATAATTGAAATCAAAACTACTAGAGATATTACATATTGTTTTTGAAATCCTGTTATATTTAAATTTATTATTTCATATATATTTACCTTAAAGTGTATCGATATAACAAAAAAAAAATAAAATAAAATAAAAAACAAACAATGAGAGAATAGAGATAAAAAATGGTAAGGGCGGGAAGATAAAACATGAGTGTGTTTTTGAAACATTTCCATCAATGGTTGCCGAAAATCGTTTTGTTAAAGAGAAAGAGAGACAAAACGTATGTTTTTGAAACGTTTTTATTGATGACCGTCGAAAAGAGAGATAAAGAGAGAGAGAGACATTCAGAGGAAGACAAATATAATATTAAGTATAAAGGTTGAAAAAAAAAAGTTTTTCAATTTTGCACAAAAATAGAATGATTTATTCCATAACTTTCTGACGATATTACGTAAAACATGTATATAGATTAGGGTGGGTCGAAAAAATCAATTATTTTTTATTTTACAAGTGCCACGGAGAAATGGGTTGCTAGAAACCTTAAAAAAATTTTCACCAAATATGAGTTCCTAATTTTAATAGGAAGATCCTCCGCATCGCAGTTTTTTATTTTTTTCTCAGTCCAATAGAATAAAATTCATACCTCATCATTAATTGATCGTACAGAAAAATGTTTTGATAAAATTTTGTAGGAAATTAACTGCTCTATAAAAATGGTGTCTTATGTTTTGGTGATTAAATTAAGCGTTCAAAAGATATTCATCATCAAACTTTCATGTGTACTGATTTCAGTCTCTGAATATCTTTTGAACGCTTAATTAAATCACCAAAACATAAGACACTATTTTTATAGAGCAGTTAATTTCCTACAAAAATTTGTATTGCGCATTTTATAATAGTCATTTATTGTCGAGTTATAAAATTCATAAACAAAAATGAAATTTGTCTTAAAATAATBAAAYTTAADYYTTCAATATCATTCAAATGGTGAGGTTTACGGAAAAAGTATAAGATACCTTTTTTGTAGAGCATTAAATTTCTACAAAATTCTTCCAGAACATTTTTCTGTACAATCAATTAATGATGAGGTATGAATTTTATTCTATTGGACTGAGAAAAAAATAAAAAACTGCGATGCGGTGGATCTTCCTATTAAAATTAAGAGCTCATATTTGGTGAGAATTTTTTTAAGGTTCTAGCAACCCATTTTTCCATGGAATTTGTAAAAAAAAAAATAATTGATTTTTTGACCCACCCTAATATAGATATATACATATGTATATATTTTATATATGCATGAAATACATTTTTCAAAATTCGTCAATCATCATTGCCATTTATCGTGCCCTTTTCGCATAAAACAAATATTATTTCCAGTCAAATATTCTCCAAAGTAATAATATTCTCTAAAGTAATTTGTTTCTTTCATTTTTATATTTAAAGTTTTTTCATATTAATTTATTTTTGTTTTATTTTGATTTATTTTTCAATTTTTTTTTTTTAACAAAGCAGCTTGTACTTTACGGCATTATAAAATTTTCACGAAATTATTTAGAATTATTTTTAATCATTTTTTTGAAAAGATTTAATAACAATTATGTTGTACCATTAATTTTAATGTTTTTTTTATTATATGTATATTTATATATATTATTATTTTTTATATTTTGGGATACTAAAATATAGAAACGAAAATATTTATTAGATTTTTCGAAAATTAATATTGATTATCGATATTCAAATATCAAACTTTCACTTGTTCATATAAATTGAAAAAATGAATGAAAAAGTTTATAAAAAAATGTTTAGTTTAGATGTTTACTAAAATAGTAATAAAAATAATAATATATATTTATTCTTATAAACTATTTAGCGCCTGGAAATAGGCAATACGTTCGTACAATCATGTAATAAGCGACAATCAACTAATAGGAAGCTTTTAAAAGAAAGGAAACTACATTATCGACATATCTGATATGATTGCCTATCGTCAAGCGACATTACTCTCATGTTAAAATGTTTAACGTAAATAATATCAATTAATATAGAAAATAAATGCACCGTTGTTCTTTGACGTATATTCTCGTTAATTTTTTAATTAAGAAAAAAAAAGAAAATATATTTCTATATTATTATTATATTATATGTTATATTTTATTTATTAAATTAAAATATAATAACAAAAAAAAAATTATGTATAATAAATGTATATATATATAAAATAAAAAATTAAATTAAATTAAATTATATATTATATATTATATTTAATTAAATATTATATTAATATGATATATATTAATAATGTATTAAATTTAATTATAATTTTATATTTATTAAATTAAAATATAATATAATGATATAGTTATATTTTTCATTTACATAGTAACAAGTGTAAAATTATATTGATTATTAATAAAATTATTGTTGAGTTATATTTTCTCGATTATAACAAAATAAATCAATGATTTCATTTGAATCGTTAAACAATTATTTTAAAAGTAATATTGTTCGAATGAATCAAAAATAATTAATTTTTTTTCTTCGATTTAATCCTATTTTTTTTTTTAATAAATAAATCGTCGTGACATTAAATAAGATTGAATTGAACAGTTTTACTAGTTTTCTATTGAAATTCTTTGTTGTCCACCTTTTATACGTATTTATTGTTTATAACAGAAATAGAATTTATCGAAAAAGAAAAATAGTTATTTATTTCACTCGTAAATCAATTTTATTTTTTACTTTTCATAATATTTGCATATATATCAAAGAAAATAAAATGAAAGAAAGAAGAGAAAAAATGGAAGGAATATTTTATTAAAATAACACGAAACATATTTCTTTATCATAACCATGTGTTTGACGTTATTTTCCACGAAACATTTTAACAAGTTTCCATTTAGTCTTTTTGATATTTAAACAGTTTATATGGAGAATTTTATCTAAAAATCGATTTAAACTATCATAGAATATTTCGTCCTTCGCCTAGTACCCTTTGGAAAGTAAAAAAATCAAATGGAAACATGAATAATATTGGTAAGGAAAACATATATATATCTCTTTTGCTGTATAAGAAATCGTTCGATAATCAAGCTTGACCTAGAAAATTAAAGAAAGAGAGAGAGAGAAATAGAATTTAGAAGAGAAAATAGAAATGAGAAAGAAAGAAATAATGGAAGGGAAAAAAAAAGAAAGAAAAGAACGCAGAATCTTAATTAAATTCACGTTAAATACATTAAAGATTGTGAATAAAAAAGTTTAAATAATAAATTGTAATATTGAAAATGGTAAAAGATTTAACATAAGATCAAAAGAACAAATGGAAAAAAAAATTAGATATATTCATGTATTAAATAAAATATATATAAAAAAATTATATAAACAATTTTTTATAAATTTTATTATATTATATATAAATTATAATTAATATTATAATAAATATTATAAATAGTAAATATTTATATAATACTTGTTTATAATATAAAACAATGATATATATTATTATTTTATATTTTATAATATAAAGTTAATAATATATAATAATAATAACATTAAATTTATATACACATATATACAAGGAAAAGTAAATGTAATAAAACGTAATATGAAACAGAGAAACAACAAAATAACAATAACAATGACAATAACAATAATAATAATAATAGATAGATAGATAGATAGATAGAGAAAGTAAGCAGGAAAACGATCAAGAAAAAAAAAAAAAGAAAATTATTAATTGATAAGACGGATTCAAATATAAGAGGGTAAAAAAATATTCAAAGTAAATAGGAAGGTCTGACATAAGTAGATTTGGTAAAAATAAGGGGAAAAAACAAAATGAAAATAAAAAATAAAAAACAAAAAAAAGAGACAAACAGACAGGACAAGTAAAAGAAATAAGAAGATAAAAACGAGAAATGGGGGGTGAAAAGATTTTAAATAAGATAAGTAAGGAGATGAAGGATAGGGGTGAGTGTAGAAATGAGGGTGGGGATTGGTTGAAGTAGAAAGAAAAGAAACGTGATTGAAGTCTTCGACAAAATAAATAAATAGGACTTGGAAACAGAACAACAACAAAAAAGAAAAGAATAAGGGAAGAAAAAGGGAGAAATGTAAAGGGCTGGGAAGAGCGTAGGGGTAAATAAAGGAAAAAAAGAAAAATAAAGAATAAAAGAGGAAGAAAGAAGAAGGATCATGACGTAGAGACTGTGGAACGTATCCAGGAGCGTATCAAAAAAGGGTTGAGAGAGAGAGAGAGAGTGTAACCTGTTGCGGCGCACGCACGTTATTCTATCTTTCTCTTTCTAACTTTCTACAATAGTGAGCCCTTTTTCAACCTAGTCGAAGCAAAGCTCCCTTCATCTTCTCCTTCTTCTTCTACGTCTACTTTTATTTTCTACTTTCTTTGATCTCTTTCTCACTCACTCTTTAAGCTGAAACTCCCACCCTCAAACCCCACCACCATTACTACCACTACCAGGAGAATCACCAATACCAACAAACCAATACACTAGTATTACCAGGACTGCCACCACCTCCAACCATGTTCGCCGTTTCTGATTGCACACGAGCCCAGGCTTAGATAGAGGCAGAACGTTAGTCTGCTTTCATCAGCTCGTGGTGATACAAACGTTGCATTTTATCTCTCAACTTTATATACATATATAGTATTTACGGGTTATTATCTGTGTCACCTACGTATGTGCATTTTTCTTGTTGTTTATTTTTATTTATTTTTTTATATAATTCCAAATACCTTCGAAATTTAACAAAACAAAAGAGTTGTTTACCACCAAAGACAAGTTTTATCTGACTATTTTATTTCTATCTTGATTTTTTGATATCTTGTGGTATCGTTTCAAAGTGTGAGAACAATAATAGTAATTATTATTATATTATTATGATAATAATCTCATTAGTGAGACAAAGAAAGGAAGACTTTATAATATAATAATATTATATCGTTGTTATGTTTGTTATTGTTGTTGTTGTTGCTGCTGCTGCTATTGTTAATTATCAAGGAGAAAAGCTGATTAATTTTATTAACAATCGTTAAAACTTATTTTCAAAGGATACATACCATATATAGTAGGTATTTCAAGTATATATATATATATATATATATA